GTCACGTGTGGTGCACTGCCCAAAGTTCTCGCTGTCTGCAAGATTCGGGCCCTTGAAGGTCTGTGGACCCGCGCCCTTGGCTAGCTGCGCGGTAAGCGTGTTAAAAGCATGGGGTGAATGCTCTTGCAGAGGTCGCCCGAGGCAATGTGAATGCCGACGTACTGTACGTTTGGAATGATATTCCATCCAGCGTTTGTGCGTGCTCGTGAAGCTTTTGTGCAGGGCTGGAGTGCAACGTCTTGACAGAGAGGCGGTCTGCTTGGTCATGAATGTCGTTGTCCCGTGTGCAATTGGGGGATGGCGTCTTGGACCGCCCCTCCTCCCCCTTCCCCCCACCCCCCCTCTGTGGCACTGCAGTGTGCCACGGATACGGCTGTCCACTTCAATGCGCGCAGGCGTTGACGCCAGTTTCGTTATGCGCCGCAGCAGAGCCTCCGCCGTGGCTGTTAAGGCGCGAGGTCGCCGTCGTGCACGTGCTCCAAACCCCGAATGGACTGCCCTCGACCTTGACGTCGTCAATCGACCGTATCCATGCATTCTGCCATGGGCTGCGGATGCGGCCACTATGACAAGCCGGAATGGAGCCGTCTGGTGGACCGGGAAGGCAGGGACATCGAGGGCGCCCTCCGCTCAACGAGGAAGCTCACGGACCCCGGCGCAGGGCTGGCAATATCCCAACTGGCCTCCTTGCGTCATCAGGTGCTTCCTCGGCTCCCTGGGCTCTCCAGCGCATCGAAATGTCGCAGTGGGAACACCACCGGCCAGCCAGCCTCCCATCCACTCATTCGGCAGTCGTATTCGCACGCCGTCCACCTTGGGGACTCTGAGCTGCAGGGTGCTCCTCAAGTCTCCTGGCGTTGCAGAAAGTGGCTCATGCTGGTTTGTTGCGTGTTCTTTGCCAGGAATATGCCTGCAGAGCTTGGGCCCCTGGTTGGCAGTGGGCGCCCATCTGCGTTGCGCAGGTGACTCTCCCTGCGCCGCCTTCCGTAGCGCTGGTTGATCCCCCGGTGTGCTGTGTGCGGTGTCCGTGTGACATTACTGTGCACCTCTCCGATGAGGCGCCCGACGATCAGCAGCTGCGCGTCGTCCTGGAACACAGGACTCGTCGCCTGGCGGATGTGCCTCTGGCAGGAGACAACAGAAGGGTGGTCAGGCAGGTTACCCTCTGGCAGGAACGAGCGGATCTGCTGTCCGGTCTTGAGCAGTCTTCGTTCTTGAGGCAACGGCCTTCTAGACGGGCCGCCCAGCAAACAGTTGACCGTTGCAAAGTATTCCGCCCGAGTCAACGGTTCGATCAGGAATGAAAATCCAGTGCATGGCAGCCTTGCTCCCTGGCTCATGCATTGCCGAGAGAAAGACGACGCTTTTCCGCCTGCTTTTTGCTCTCAGGGTGCCCGTCACTGTTGAAGAGCCTGGCGTGACGACCATCTACCTTGTGAATGGTGATGGGGAGGTGCTTGAGGCCAGGCACGCGCTCCCAGTGCTGCCCCCCGACGCGTCGGAGGAGCTCCGACAAATATTCCTCAGGGCGGTGGATGTGATCAGGAAGAGCGAGCCTGCATTTCAGGCAGAATATCTGGAGCTTCCCATTGAGCAGGTTCCCATTGCGGCTTTACTCATCGGGCGTGCTGGTACTTGTGCGGGAAAGGAAGGCATGGCCTGGTCCATTGTCGAAGGAGGCAACCTAAAGATACACAGTTGACTTGGGCGCAGTACAAAAATTAGTTGTGCCAGAATAGAAGGCAACAGTTTGGCATGGCAGGCAGTTGTTGATTCGACAAAGTTGATGGTTTCTTGTAGAATTGCTAGATGAGCACGTTGGAATACAAAATTGGCGAATTCCAACAGCGCCCAACTTACCATTACAAGGAAGTCATTGTACCAGGTACCAGGGAAGTGAGTTGTCATATTTTATCAAGAGCATCCCATGGATGCAGTAAAAGTGTAGGAAATTCCTTGGGAGAGCTGTCCGTCTCAGTTTTGATATACTTCACGTCAATTGCTCTGCAGCGTTGCCTTGGTGACATCTGTTCAAAAAGTAGTGCACAATTAATGCATGGTGTAGTTAGGTACGTATGTAAGTAGAAGGGCCAGGAAGCCGCCTGGAAGGGTGCTGTGGTTGCGTGTCAGTGGAGTTCCCGCCCTGAAATGCCCGCGCTATGTGGCGGCGCAGGTGGCCGCATGCCTTGCAAATCTGGACCAACACATCTTCGAAACCGTGTGGAGGAAGAGTCTTGCGCCCCTCTGCGAGGACTTGAATTATCTGTTGGAGCTCTTCTGGGAGCGTATAGAGAAGGGCAACTTTGCTGCCTCTATCACAATGGTGGCAGAAAAGTCCCTCCACAAAGTGCTGGTGTACCTGATGGGAAATCAGGCCTGGTCCCTTGTTGCGTTTATCCTGGAGACATGCCAGCAGTCCGGCCTTCCCATCGCTGTAAGCACTCTGTTGTTCACCCCTTGTCATTTCTGTGCCATTTCTATTGGGTACTCTGAGAAAAGGTGCCATGCTTGGATCTTGCTCCTGTGTAGTTCTCGGATTCCAGAAAAGAACTATCATCAAAGGAATCATGACGGAATCGCCCCACACCCTGAAAATTGAAGACCCACGAAGTCACACAGAAGAACGCCTCTTCGCAACAAAGGCTGTACGTTGCATTCTATCCGAGCAACATTGAACAGTGCCTTCAGCGCATAGATGGGCCACGGATGCGAATCCCAATGCCTTGTTGTTGTGGCCGCAGCAACTGCGCAGCAATGTGCTAATTTCTGCCGTGGCGCTTATCCCCCTCCGGCAGTACATTTCCTTCATGACCCTTTTCCTTGAACGCAACGCCGCAGGTGAATGGCGAAAAGCTTTCAATGGGCGACCTGCAATCGGAACACCTGAAGCAGCTGGCGCAAGATGTAAGGAGTCACAATAGAGGTGGAGCGGAGCGGTAGAATGTCGCGCCCAACCGACCGTTTGGTGACACTTCCACTTTTGGGCAAGAGCGGGGGCTGAGAGGGGAGCCCGTTCACAGATGAGCATGTCAGGTGCAGCTGCCAGAATTTCAACTGCACAAGTTTTGGGGATTAGGTGGGAGAAAGGATTATGCTCCGTGACGGGGGCTCTGCTTGTTCGAGATCCAAATTGAGGGAGTCTCAATACTTGCTGCGCCAGGCGTCGTGGTGTTTCCCGCGCTGCGCGCATACCTGCCTTGTTTTTTGTACATATACGTGGAAACTGCAGAGGACGGAAGTGGGGCGGGCCCCATGGCGTTCTTTTCACCATTTGGAAGCAGTTTGGGAGAGGCCCTCAAATTCTCTATTTCAGTTTTCCCTGCGGAGAAGGCCGAGGGATACACGACAGACTACTGGGGCCCGGGTGTGGCTTTTCAAAGGATTTATTTCATTTCTCGTGTGTAATTTATCGTGGTGTGCGTAGCAAGCAGGTGTGCAAAGGGCGCTGTCGCGTCGTTGTCGTGGTCTTTCATTACGATGGCCGCGGTTTGTTTCAGACATCTGTATGGGGCCCTTGGCCCAGCCATCGGGCCTTTGAAAATTGGTGTGACGTCATCGGGCATGTGTGAGGCATGAGTATGCGTCGTCGGTGAAACAGGATCTGTTTTGTGGATTGCGAGAATGGCGTTTTTGCGATGATGGGTTCGTGGATTCTTAAGCACGCCGGCCTTGACATGTGAGCAGCAATGCTGCAGATGCCGTTACAGTAACTGTGGATCGACTTCCCGTGCAGAAATGCGCGAGGCAGCAAAGATGTCGGCTGGTATGGTCGGTGTAGAGATTCGACCATACATTCATGAGTGCTTCAGGCGAAGGATGCGGCGGTCCGCTGTGGAGGCAGCCGCAAGAACTGTGGCAGTTGGTACGACATCTCACAACCAGGGCGAAGCCGCTGGTGCGCAGAACAAGCTTTCAGACCATCAAGAGATGTTTATGTGCCGTTGTGAAGTCTGCCTCAAGCGCAAGGCCCATGCAGCCCATTGCTCGTCTTTTGGAAGCACGTTGCTTTGGCCAGGCTGCTGCCACGCTGGTGAAAAATGTCACCAAACCCATGGTTAATGTGGTACGTGTTGGGCCAATTTTATCATGGCCTAAACTTCTAGCATACACTTTCGCCCGATTTCAGCACATGCTCGACACAGTTTCCTACAGCGGAAAGTGATCTATGTTTATTCAGTGCCGGTGATGTGCGCTGGCGCATGTAGAAGCGCGCGTGGGGGGACTGCACAGGTGCTTCTCTTGAAAGTTGCTCCAGGAAGCAGGTGTGCCAATCGTGTTGTCCACCTTGGGACATGGGAACATGTGCAACAATCTTTGGACGCGGGATTTCTGTGCCGAGGATTGCCCTCATCTGGGCGCCTGCGTTCTGCCATCATCCGTGCGCGGCCATGAATTGTTGAAGGGGCCTTTTCAGCACATGGTGTGGATGCACCATGTCGATGCCGCTCGTGCTACCGGAGGTGACGCCAAGCGGGATAACCAGACGCATGTCAATCCACCAATCGGAGGATCCCATCAAAACGTGTAATACACATCCATCAGCCACCAGTTCCCCATTTCGCCCTAGAAAGACGGTGTTCATCAATCACCCATTGTCAACATCGAATCGTATCAACATAATATCGACACTGTATCATGCGATGCCCAGTGCCACCACCCAGCGGCCGCTGTTATCGTACACGTCCTGTACCTGGTGCTGTGTGCTTGCCGGCAGCACGCCGTACATTGCCCCACACCTCGACGACCCCCATCCCCTGCAGCATCGGCACTTAGTCAGATTCGGGGACCTTTCCCCAGGGACGGGTGGCGGTTGGCGGCAGCGGCGGCAGCTCGCTCAGGGCGCGGCGGGAGCGCCGGAGGGCCCACGGAGTCGCCTTTCCCACCCGGGGCGAGTCGCCGGACTGGCATCACCCCCGGACGGCCTGACCGGTTCCTGATTGACGTCCCACCGGCCCAGGCGGCTCGAGCACGGCCGCGCGAGGTCGTCGCGGCGCGGGAAGATGAAGATGAAGATCAGCCTCCACATACCCAGCTACTTGACGGTGCTCACGTGGTTCTACTGCCTCCTGATCGGGCTGGTGACCGGCGCCGTGGCCTTCGCGGTCAGCGTGGGGGTGTCGTCATTCTTCAAGGGCGTCTGGGCGGCCATCGTGCAGGACATTTTTTCCGAAGAGCCGGGCGGCGTGGGGGGCCTGGCGTGGGCGTACGCCAAGTTCGCGGCGGCCAACCTGGCGCTGGTGCTGAGCGGGGCCGTACTGGTGCTGGCCATCGCACCCGTGGCGGCGGGCAGCGGCATCCCCAACATGTACGCCTACCTCAATGGGATCGACATCCCGGACTTCCTCAACATGCGCACGGCGGTGGCCAAGGTGCCCGCAAGCGTGCTGGTGGTGTCGGGCGGCCTGGCCATAGGTGGGTGATTCCGCGCCGCCCCCCTTCCCTGTCGTCAGAGAACTCGCGCGACGTGGATTGTGGATTGGCTGGCGCCGACAATCGCGGAGAAATGGCGGACCGCGGCAGAGACGTCGCGGACTGGGCGCGGGGGGGTAGGGTGGGGCGGCGCAGGCAATCGCGCGGAAGGCGAGGAGTGCCCCAGTCCATGCGGATCGCGTCGCGCGAAGCGCCTGCCGGTGTGGACACCGGCGGCATTGGGCATCGGCTCCGATGGGGGGCCTTCGCCGATACGACGCGTCCTGTGATCGACGCCGGAACGTTCGTTGCGCCCGGCGCGCGTTTCTGACCCGCTGCGGCCCGTGGTGGCGGTGTCGGCAGGCAAGGAGGGGCCGCTGCTGCACATCGGGTCCATCATCGCCACGTGGTTCGGCAACACACCGCTGTTCACGCGGATGAAGGAGGCCAAGGACAAGGAGCCCTTCGCGTACGAGCAGCACACACGCGACTTGGTGCTGTGCGGAGCTGCAGCGGGGCTGGCCGCGGGCTTCAAGGCGCCGATCGGAGGTGCGGCCGATCCCGACGCGTCCCCTGTATGGCTCCCATTTTGAACCCTGCTGTCGGGGGGTGTTGTACCAGCTACGGCTGGCACGACTTGTGGCACCAGTTGTGCCAGCTATGGCTGGACTGCACCAGCTTTCGTGGGCCCGGTGGCGGCGGTGGTGTTCTGTGATTTTCCCCTTATCGGGCAGCGGGTGTCAGCCATCGAGGGTTGTGTCCATCCCAAGATCCCGCGTCCTCTGCTGCCGCGCTTGGCATGTTAGCTCATGGGTGTCCGCTGACATGCCTTTGCCGATTGCTTGCGAAGGCGTGCTATTCGCGATGGAGATGGCGTCGCGCTGGCGGCCCGAACTGACCTGGCGCTGCCTGTTCACGACGGCCGCAACGGCCACCGTGATCCGGGCCAGCACCGCGTCGCTGAACAGCCACTTCCTGTTAGACAAGGGCGGCGAGTGCAAGCACAAGAACTGCGACATCCTGTCCTACGGCTCCCTGCTCTCCTTCAGCGTCAACTTCACGAACAAGACGCCCTTCAGGGAGACTGGGCTGATGATCATACTGGGCATCCTGGGGGGGCTGTTGGGATCCCTGTACACGACCCTGAACACGATGATGATCGGGTCCAAGAGGTGGGGATACAGGAACAAGACGTGGGCCAGGCTGCTGGACATCGGGGCTGTGTCGGTACTCACGTCTGTGCTGAGGATAGTGCTGCCCTGGATGGGGCATTGCCTGCCCAAGAAGGCTTGCGATGACTGTCCCAGCGTCGCCCCGGGCGCCGCTGAGCTGCAGTCATTCGTGAACTATGGCTGCGACGAGGACAGCTACAACGACCTGGCCGCCCTTATGTTCAACCCGCAGGGCTTCGTGGCGAAGATGCTCTTCCAGGAGGAGATGCTCCGCTTCACGGGCACCAGTCTGTTCATCTTCACGTTGTTCTATTACTTGATGGCAGTGCTGGCGTACGGCGGGCCCATACCCGCGGGTTTGTTCACGCCTTCGCTCATCACGGGTGGGGCTTTGGGGCAGCTGTTTGCATGGTCTGTGAACAAGATGTTCGGGATGAACCTGGACTTGGGCCTGTATGCGTTCCTTGGGGCGGCCTCTCTGCTGGGCGGCATGTTCAGGTTTGCAGTTAGCTTCTGTGTTGTGCTGGTGGAGCTGTTTGAGTCTGACGCTCAGATCCCATTCCTAATACTGGTGCTGGTCTTCGCCAAGGGGGTGGGGGATCGAATCAACCAGAGCATCCTGAACCACTTGTGCATCCTTCTTGGCCTGGAGTATGTTGGCGGCCACCCAGACTCGACCATCCGCAGAAAGGGCTTTAAGGCTAAGGACATTGCTGCCAAGAACATCCCCAAGCTCCATCCCATGGACTCGATGGAGAACATCAACAAAGCTTTGGATGCGGATGAGCATGGTGTATTCCCGATCGTGAGACACACCTATTTGCGTGGGTCCTCACACAGCAGCGCCCCTGTGGAGAACTTCATTGGGATGGTGAGCAGAGAAGACCTCGAACAACATTTAGAAAAGTTGCAGGAGGAGCAGGAGGGGGAGGACAGTGACCCGGAGGCACCGACTTTTCTGCTCAGCGAGCGCCTGGATGCTTCGGTGGACCTCACGAGCTTGATCCAGCTCCCGCCGGTGGTTTTGCCACCCGAAATGCCTCTGACGACTGTGTTCAGACTGAAGAATGCCAGCGGCATTGAGTATCTGCCCGTTGTGGGGACACATGGGCCGCTGCAGGGCCTCATCTCACGCCACGAGTTGGTGGACGCCCAGAACAAGCACGTGGATCCACATAACTTGCAGCAGAGGCTGGACATACTGACCAAGGAACCCTTCCTCGCTCGGGCAGCCGCCTTGTCGCATATCTACCATGACGTGACGGTACCCCTATTGGGTGACGCCCATCTGAGGAGGAGCATGAGTGGGAGGAGGAACCTGCGGCGTTGCTCCAGCGTGTTTTGAGTTGTTGGGTGGGCAGAGTTGAGATAGGGAATGGACAGGGAGGTCAGTTGTTTGGTGATTTAGGTGTGTGGCACATGAGGGCTGCCCCCCAAAGCATGGCACTGTGTCAGCCCGTTTATGCTGCTCCAGAAAGAGGCTTGTTCTTCATGGCAGGGAAGGGTACATGCACATGGAAGGGCGTAGTTGGAAGGGATCAAACACTTCCAGCTTGTGCTCCCGATGTCAAGTAAGAGTTAGTGAAGACTGAATGCACATTTGGTCACCACTAGTAGTGGAACAACGGTCAGGTCCATTCACAGGAGCCCATTTGCATGTTGTATGATTGTCTATTAGTGTTGACCGGGCAGGCCCAAGTTCATCGCTGAGCGAATAACAACGCTCCAGTTGAAAATTGGTATGGGCGGCATTTGTCTGAATTGGACAGCCCAAGAGGGGTTCGTGCTGCTCAGTACACCATGAATCGACTCAGCATAATTGATGGAACGAGGGGTTGGCGTTTTCTTTTAAGAAAACGTAGGGGCTTTTGGTTTCTAGGAATATAGACTATTTGTGTCGTGCAGCATATGGTGGAGGTACAGGACCAGCGGCATGAAGAATTTTTACTGCAGATTTTTCCTGCAAATTTTTAATTTGCAGAGTTCTGCAGCGTCTCTGCTGGGAATGGCAGCGGCATTCCAGGATGCAATTGTGCTGCAGAGTGCATGATTGACTTGGGCAGCGCAGGGAGGAGACCGCCTGTGTAAGGGAGGAGGATCTCTCTTACAGCACACCCCTCGCCCATTAGTGCACCGTGCGTTTGGACTCGTTTGGGAACCACATGGGCGATCCAGTCAGCTGTGTGCTCCTAAATGATCCGCGCGGGAACAGACACGACAGCACGAGTTCGCACTGCCTTCGGAAGAATATGAGCCGAGTTGCCATTGCCTTTATTCTTGCCTTGCACTGGGAGATTAGGTTTGTGCGCACTACATGTCAACCGCCTAGTCTGGTGTATCTGCGCCCTTTGTGCGTTGCACTGAGGTGTCGTCAGTGGCCTCGCCAGTTGATGCGTGCGACCTGGGGTATGGAAAATATCGGGAATGATATACCGGGCATCCCACACCCGCTGCGCAATCTATGTGGTAGGTCACGATCCACCCTACTACAGCTATCGTAACCCCATTAGGTTGTGCTTAATTCACTGTAGCAGTCAAGACTGGTGTTCCGTTCAACAAAAGGCACCATACATGGGCAGTTGTGACCCAACAATGATTTCCAGCCAGCCTAATTGTTGAGACAACGATTGCAGCATGTCGCCTCCAGCGGGCACATCTTGCACACACAAGGTGGAATTCCCAATGCCCGTGCCTGCGTGGCCGCTCATGTCTGCTGATGAGACCGGAAGGGGAATGTTGATGCGACAGTGGCCTTGCATGCGACTCAGCGAGTATCCAAACCCCCCAGGCTGACACCATCGTCACGGTTGTGGCAGAGGTGTAACCGGCAAGCATGGTCGCGACTGTGGTACTTCCCAGTGCAGCGCACACCTGGGCGCCATGCAAGTCACTCCATCTTGTGTAGAAGGGGAATGTTGACGTGATAGTGGCCTTGCATGCGACTCAGCGAGTATCCAAACCCCCCAGGCTGACACCAGGTTGTGACAGAGGTGTAACCGGCAAGCATGGTCGCGACTGTGGCACTTCCCAATGCAGCGCACACCTGGGCGCCATGCAAGACACTCCATCTTGCGTTGTTGTCTGTCACCGGCATTGTCACCTTGAGGCATTGCGGCAATGTGGACCTGGCGCGACCTGGCCAGCAATGCACAAACGCAACAGTATCGAAAACACAAACCACAACTTGTGGTTGTGCACAGGAGATGAACGCGTGCACAAAGATACGATTAATGCACTATTTGCCAACAGGCCCTTGCCGCGTGTATTTCTGCCAGCACGATGCACTAATCCCAATTGACCTGCGACGCCCAGCTGGGGTATTCTGTTTCCAGTATGGAACCCCACCCCTGGCATCAATTGGGAACATATGTTTGAGCGTCAATGCACCTCCTGCCGTCCATTTTCCCTGTCTACTTGTTCTCCGCTGCGAACTTGACGCCAGTCTCAATGGACGCATTCAATTCTGGCACCATGGAATCCAGGGCCTCTTTCTCGTATTCGTTGATATCACCAATCGGGTAAATCTCCTCGACACCTGTGGAGTCGTGGAGAAAGATGGGTAAGGGCAGTTCAAAACACAGGAAAACGAAAGGATTCTCCGAGGGGCGTAACTCCACGCGGATACCGTCTATCAAGACACGAGATTACCCGCCGCTCATCGATTAGGACCTGCTTTGGTGGAGTACATAGCATTTCGCAAATCGAAACTTCAGACCTGAGGTCAGCCGTTGCAGCCTAGTTACTTGATGCATGGCTTGCTCTATGCTAAACGCGTCTCCTTTAGTTCCCTACTCTCATTTGTTGAAACGTGAGCCAGAGTTCACGTTCCTCGTTTGTTCACAGTACCCGCTGTCTGGCGACTTCTTGTTTGTTCTCCGTGACTTCAACACCGTTTCTCCAAGTGTCGCAATGGCTTTGGAGTACACAAACCTTTGTTGCTGCTTTGTTGTATGCAAGAGCCATTCGCATGACATCACAGGCTAGTTGCGCTGCTGACCATGGCAACAACGCATTATTCTTCGCACAGTGTGCACAGTAGCCCAAGACACAGAATGCTAACAGCTCTAACGTGCACTGTGGAAGGATCCAGGCACTCACCATTGGCTCCCAGTCTGACCTTCGTCGAGAAGTAATCCACACCAGGACAAGCCGTGGATTCCACGTAAGAACATTCAATCACACTCTTCTGCCCTGGAGACAACCAAAACAGGTGCGTATGAAGGCTGTAGCGGCTGTTCAATGTATTGCCACAGTCACCTACCAGAGGCAATTACGTACAGCACAGACAACACCTGTGAATCAATTCTGTGGGCCGCAGTTTGTTTACAACATAGGACCAAACCAAGCCATTGCTCAATGAGAGCGATAAAGGGCGCAGCATTCAATCAGCATGTGTTGGGTGTTCCAGGGCAAACCAAATTTGAAAGGGGTGCCATTTAGGAGCCCTGAGGGAAGCGGGACTGTGTTTGATACACCATTCCAGCCAGCAAGCAGCCTCACCATCCATCAAACAGTTCTGCTAACAACTCAAGCATGCAGCCACCAAAGAGGGCACGAACAACGATTGGGTGCGTGTATAATTCCCGTTTCCTTGTCAGTCTTCCTTGTTTAGATAATTAGGGGCTGCCCGAATACATACCATTCAGACCTCTCAAACAGGCATCTGCAAAAAGCGCGCCTGCATAGGCCATGGACAAGGTTGCTGAACCCTGAAAAAAATCAAATGATGGGCTTCAAAATTCTGCAAGAGCTGTCCAGTTACTGCAAGGAATTGAGCAGACAAGTCCAAAAAGAAACACCCACTGGAAATACAAAACCCTACGCCACAGCGTTGGTGGAGCAAGTGGTGGCACTCTCTCCAGTTGCAATTGCCAGAACTGTGCAATCGATCACATTCGAAGGGCGTTCTGCCTTCCAGCACCTTAGCGACTCTGCACATCTGATGGCAAGCCAACATAATTCCTGAAGGGGGAAACTCTTTCCTTCCAAAACAATGCAGGCCAATGAGGCTCAAACTGCAATAACATCATTAGGATCAATGCAGACACCGAGACTGGGCTTGGGAAAGAGTGGAGGACAAACAGCAACACATTTCAATGAAGACCTTGATAAGCGCCCAACACCCATATTCCATCCCAGCGTCGAGATCAGAATTGTGTGGCCAGATCACAGGCCTGTTCTTCATCAATTACATCGTTTAGCCCACATACATCTGCAAGTAGACACTCCCAAATCATGTTCCTCAGGTCGCTGTATTCTCAAATTGTTGCAAACAAGGGTGACCAGTTTTCCCTTGCCCTTACCAGCCTGTGACCAACATGATTACCTTGCCAGCCTTTGCCTGCACCACCTCAGTGCCTCCATCCTGTGTCCTCTTTGTGAGCTGTTCTACGTCATCTTTCAATATCTCACTCGAAGGTGTTGCCTGAGCAGCGAGCATGACATCCATCAAGCACCAAGCAGATTGACAGCTAACAGCTGTCAGCTACCTCATTGAACATGAGTCTTTATTCGGTGTTTTATCGTGGCTTTGGGCGTTTCTGCCTATTTTGTACATAGACCATTGTTTGGGCCTGGATGAGCATGCTTCTGGACAAGGCTGTGAAATGGGTCGACAGCAAGTTGCACAGTGCTGTGGCAACGTTCTCTGCTAATTTCTCATTCAATACAACTGCAAACAGACAACACGCATCAGTATCACATAAACATTGTGATGACATGGAAGCTGCACAGACAATGTAATCATGCAGTCGGTCTCGAACTCAGACACATCAAAAATCAATAGGTTCACTTAAACTTAAAACTGTGAACACATTCAGCTTGATGCACATTGACTCCAACGTGCACTTGACTTCGTTGTTGCTACTGACATTTGTTATCTCTGGTTACCAGCTGACATCAGCAAACAAATCAAAGTTGCACTCGTCGAAGCCGACTACCTTGCACTGACGTTTTGACTTCCATCAAACATCCACCATATCAACACAGCACAAGGCAGCTGCTGTGTTGCTTGCATGTGGTAGGCAAATTAGCACCCAGCAGCCACACCCGAGGCTTGCCCACAGCTGTTGCCAATAAATGTAGCAGCTCATCTGCACCACCCACCTGAGACCAGAGTGGCAATATGGTGATGCCTGCATGGCCTCCCACAACAGGCACATCGACTTCGCCTATGTTCAGACCCATCCGCTCAGCATAGAAGGTTTTGGCTCGGACCTACCACCAGCCGAACATGTGTGATCCACCAAAATCCACTAGCCAATAAATCTATCTGTTCATCAGCCAAAGTAGGCAATGAAATTATGCACCAATACAGGTTGCCAGTGTATGCAGTTGAATTGAAGAGCACGTGACAAGAACAACCATCGCCGTCGGGGCTGGGCATGCAAGCAGCTTGACTTTTGACATCAAAATCTTTCCAGACTGCACTTGTGCCACAAGCAAACAACTAGTAAAGACAAACTGCATTTTCCTTTGTCTCAATTTCTTTTTGACTGCAAATGACCTATTCACGCAAATAGGTCGCAACTTTTAGGCGATGATAACATGTCAGTTTCAAGAGTGTTGTCTGAAGCAGGCACCTGATGGAGGATATCATCCACAGCATAGCCCTCGTTCCCATTGTATTGCAGCACATTTGCAAACAACGATACTTGTGCTTACTCAATAACAATGGTTGCCAACATAGAAAATCCAGCCAAAGCACTCCAGATTCAAGGCAAACACACAACAGCTGACTGTTGTGCAACTTCAGGCTACTGTTTCAAGCATACCCACCACGTCAAGAGTTGTAACACCCATCAGCTTCCGTTTGTCATAGACATTGTGCCTCTTCAGTATTTCAGCAGCTATGGGGACCGTTGAGTTCACAGGATTTGATATCATGTTGATGCATGCCTGTAGTGGGCAGCACACAAAAAAGCAGTTTCAGGTGGACAGCCCTGGCTCCATGTATAGATGAGGGTACAGATTGTGGACAGGTTGCAGATCTGTCAACACAAGGTTGACAAGGATTTCCCAGGACAGGAACGAGAAGCATGCCACTCGATGGGCACACCTTTCTGAGTGAGAGACAGTGAGACACTGTGCCATCCTACCCCAGATCAAGTATAAAGTCTCTGAAGGCAGGGTGGGGACCACAAAGCACCATGCAACAGGCGTGGCAAGAGAACATGTGCGCAGGCCACATGACCCACAATGCCCACGTGCTAAGCTGTCCGAAGAGCGTCCAAGTAGCCACAATGTTTTGTAACGAAAGGAATGGGACAGACCCATCACAGTGCTGTTCAGAGTGGCCTATACATGGAACCTCATCAATCCATGCCAGATCAGTGCGAACATGTCGCCTGGCATGCAGTTGGGAGAGGGATAGGACATTCTTCGCATCAGCTCAGTGCTGACCTCCCACCACTATTTCAATTTTCATTCGGTTGGACAAACAATGACAAACTGGCAACATCCGGATGGGCTCTCACGGCCGAGGCTGGATACAAGTCGGCCAAGAAAAATAAACAGGGCGGGCAGCGACAGTGCCGACGAACCGAAATCGGAGCACAACCAGCAACCGCGCGATAGACGCCTCCTACCGTCGGGCAGGTCTTCGCGATCTCTTCAACCAAGCTCTTCACGATGCCGGCGTTGACCTGTCGGGAAGACAACATCGCAGGGAGCTGAGCGCTCCGAGCGTGCGGCACCAGGTGCGTTCGGCAGCGGACAGCGCTCGGACGACACGTACTTTGAACAGGTCTTGCCTGGTCATCCCCGGCTTCCTAGGCACTCCGGCGGGAATGACCACGACGTCCGCCCCGCTGAGGCACTCCTTCAGCTCGTCTCCCGAGTAGGCCTGCGCAAGCCAGTCAGACAGCCCCGAGGTCACGTTCCCAACTACCACCCAGCTCAGAAAATCGCCCATTTCTGATGCGCCCGGAGTGTCAGGCGACTTCTTGCACGACCGACGTCGCACTCCTCTTTGCGAGCACCCCGCGGACATGTGCGTCCAGCTTCATGGCGCTTTGCAATGGACGATCCAGGGTGGTGTCAGACTCGTGCTCTGAGCCGCTGCTGCGCAAATGTTGTGCGTGTAATTGTTGAGGCAGTGTCAGAACTTTTCTGTGTTGGGGCAATGGCCCTCTCCCCAGCAACCTGCCTTAGGCAGATCTGTGGGGCCGTTGGCGCCGTGCCCTCCCTCAAGGTGCATTCTCGCAACGCTGTTGGACGCAGACGCCCATCAAACGCGCCAGACGCGCAGATGTCAAGCGCTCAGAGGATAAAACGACTGGGTACGAGCGGTGGGCGCTGCGGGCGCGGTCGGAGCGCACGAAAACGGCCCCTTTTCAGATCGCTCGCTGCTATCCCAGCACGCCCACCTTGACTTGCGCCCTGGTGTTGACATGGCTGACGTCCGCCGCCACGCCGGGCATGTTGGCAATGTCATACAGCGCCAGCTCCGTGCATGCGGGGTTCATCTGGCAGGAACAGGCACCCCAGGACTCGGCCACGCCACCAATCGAACACCCCTTCCGCCCGTTCCACCCAGATCCTACATCAAATGGCCTTGGGAGGAACGGCGATCGAAGCCGAGAGGAAGCGCCGATCCGCACCCTGCGCGCGCTGCCCGCCCACCTTCATCAGCAGCGCAAGCGGCTGGCCGATGCCGCCCGCGGCTCCCAGGATCGCCACCTTCCTCTCGGGCACGGCAGCGATGCTCATCGCCCTCCCCATGGCGCGCGCGGCCTGGCCCAGGCCCTTGGCGGCGCGCAGGAAGGCGGCCATGGCTGCGGGGGAGGGAGCCTTGGCGAGGGAGGGGAGCGTGGGGCACGACCCACCACACTGTCAATTGGCAACAATATTGCTCCGCTAATGCGCACGCACGCGCCACGACCCCGCGTACCTAAACTAATCCCCGGTTTAGTTGGACGCCGGGGTGAAAGGCGGACCGCTCCCGCTCCCCGGCTGTTTCGTGCACCCGACCCCTCGACATTGGTGCCTCGCGCCAGCGACGCCCGGCCCCGCCGACGGCCACCACCTTGCGCCCGCCCTCCTCACGGCCCCCTTCCCCCCCCCGTCATAGCCCAGGACCCCACTTCGCATCCGCTTGCTCGCCATGGATTGCGCCAGGCTCCTGCGGCGGTGCCACTCGCTGTCCATGCCATTGACAGACGCGCTGGCCGGCATTCCCGATGCCGGCGCCGCGGATGAGCCCTCCCCCTGGCGCAGGCACTCCGGATTTGCTGGGGGGGATGCAGGCCACGGGCTGTACTGCCTGGCGCGAGTGGACGAGAGCACGGGCGCGCCGCTGCGCCTGGCGACGGACAAGGAGGCCGAGGAGCTGGGTCGGCTGCTTGAGCTGTCGGGGAACAGCCACTTGCTGACGTGCGAAGCGCCGGGAGGCTGCAGGCTGTCGGGCGCCAGGGGCGGGAGCCTGTGCGGCCGCGGCAGCTGCGGCTGGAGGGGCGGGGGGCCATGCGACCACTGCGGAGCCACCGGTGCGCGTGCGTCCGGCATGGATTGCCTCCAGCCGGCGGGGGAAGCGGGGGGCAGATTTTTTTCTTTTGGTTGAGGATTGGGGCTGTTTGGCGGGCGCCGTTGGGGTTGCTGCCGATCGGAGGGGCGTCAATTGGCGTGGGAATGAATTTTGTCGGTCGCATCGGCGTTGGTCGGCTGGGGGGTGTCTCGGGGGAGGGGGTTTGCGCGCGTGTGTTTGGCGGTGGGGTGGGGCGTTCGGCGTGCCTGGGGCGCGCGGAGAGTTGGTGCTTGGCGGAGCCAATGCGCCTTGGCAATGGCCCGGGGCGGTTCGTGGTCCCGCTCTGGGGCGCAATGGCCGCCAGCTGGCATCGCCGTCAATGCCGGCGGGCGCCATTGCGTCAATACCGACACTCGCGGACGTCGCGATGGGCGCCCTTTGGCGAACCGCGACGCCTCTGCGCGCCTCCTACCCTCGCGCCGAACCCCGAATCTTCGGCCGGGAGCATCCCCAAAACATCCAATCCCCATCGCGGCGCACGCGCAGGGCGTGACCTGTCCCTAGCCTGGGACTTCCCCGCGGCTTCTCCCGCCCGTCCCTTTTCACTCGGGCATTCACGGCCTTGCGGTCCCCCTCCAGCCCACACCCCCTCCCCGCTCCCCCCACTCCACGTGTTTAGCCCCTCGCCTCGCGTGCTCTTGCTCCTGATTCTGGAAAACCCAGGGAGACAGCTGTCCCCTGGGGGCTGTATCACCCTGTGGCCCTTGTGGGGTGTGTACCGGCGCTGCCCAGAGGGGATTTTGTGCCGTCCAGCATATTCCCACTCGAGCCCGTCATTCCTGGCTGGCGCAGCCGCCCGGCCCGCGGCGCCTGCCCGCCAGCTTCGCCGGCGCGTCAAAGCCGCTGGCCGGCAGTCCTACGGCTCGCCGCCATTTGTACGATGTTGTGGGTGGTGGGCGTCGTAGTCCCCACAGGTATGAAATTAGTACCTGTGTCTTTTGCGTGAAGATCCCTTCCTCATTTGCTGACAAGGCCAGCGCCGGTCAGTCGGGTCAGTGGTTTAAGGTTTTGAGGGTGTCGGAAACAAGAAGGGATCTTCACGGAAAAGACAGAGGCATACAATTACTGGCTGCACCAAATCCGTGACTTTCTGCACTAAATCGGTGACTGCTTGCACCAAATCCCTCCCAAACTTACGTAACCCAACACCTATACCCTAAAAACTTAATCCTGAACCTACCCTAAAACTAAAACTCAGCCTAAAACTAAACCTAACTCTGAAACAGAGGTTACGACATTGTGTGCACGTGATTTGGTGCCAGCAGTCACCGATTTGGTGCAGGCAGTAATATTATTTCAAAGACAGGGGGACTAATGTATTCTCGTCGTCACACGGGCCAAGGGCAATTCGCGGGGTGACATTATGTCAGGAGAATCGTAGCGGTATCGTAGCTGGTGGAAGGCTGCCCAGCCCTTGGCCTATCGGTGCAGTTCAGCGCGATCCCTCCTCGACAAGTCGTCCACGGGGCGTTCAATCAGTTCAGAGCGATAGACATCAGGATAGGCATCAGAACTTCCAACGTCTCTTTGCTGAAATCGCCACGTGTTGACTGGAAGCTGTGTGCTCGCCAGTCTGTGTACATTCCTGTTTGGTGGTTAGTGTGCTTCTTAGTAGTAACGGCAAGCCCCCAATTTGCTCTGCCATTTCAACGAAGAGGGCACATCTGGGGCATAAGTTCTCCTGTGGTCGCGTTCCAATGCCTGACTCGCCCCCGAAATCCGCAACATGGATATGCGGAGAGTTGTTGCTGACAACATATCCTATTCCATTTTGCTGATTTGATTTATTGGCGATCGTACATTGCTGGAGCTCGGCTCGGTTGCCCCATCAACTTGCACGAATGCCTCTCTGACCCATCTGTTGCTTCGCTACAGAGTCTCCACAGTGGCGGCGAGGGCCGCCCATGAAGTCTGTTTTGTGCAACGCCTGCGGTACACGCTACCGACGGACCGGGCAGCTGGGCTCGCCGGGTCCAGCGACGTCCATGCGCAAGATGCGGTCAGTAGTGTCCGACCAGAAGCGCTACAATGTCGAAGACAGCGAGGGGAGCCGTCTCGTGTTCTGCGAAGCGGCATGATATTGGCCTGGGCTGCACCATGTGGCCAGGCCTCACAAGCCTTCTTAATTTTGTGCCCGGGGGGGCAAGTTTCTGATGGTGGTGGGCACAGACTTGGGCCGTTTGGGTTTTCTTTTGTTCTCAGCATTTCTTGGTCGCCTCTTTCCAGTTGTGTCCTCCTGTGGTGTTGGGGTGTGCGCTATGTGTTTCGGGTGGGAGACACATTTTGTGGGACACAGTGCGAGGGTTGTTGGATGTGGGAATTACTGGACTTCCATGACGAGGGAGCAGTTCCCCAAATCGATAGCAGACAACGATGCTGTGGATCCGTCAACGTGGTCGCTAAGCTTGCCGCTCTGCACTGTGTGCCGGCCACGTACAGGGAGTCCATGTAATAGGAGGCGAAAATGGAACATCTTTACGCCACCTGGTCACTGGTGACACATTGGTTGCACGGCTTTCATCCCACTTGCGGCCACTTTACTACTTTTTTCCTTGGAGGGGGGGGGGGGGGGGGACTATTGGCTCTGTTTCTCTTACGAAGTTTTGTGCTGGAAAGAGGGGTGTTCCGACGAAATTTCCACATTCATGGGTCAAACTGCACCAAACGTTTTGGCGTTGATGCAGACACCGTGCAGCTCTTTTGGGGCGACCCAATCCCGCTACTTCATTCCTTTCACTTTGTGCGCCGGATAATAGCAGCCCACACCACCTTCCTCCCCTCCGACACCCCCTGCCCACGCCACCCTTTGTGGCACAAAAGCCAGCACACAGCAGAAAGGGAGCGTGCTGCTCACGGTGCTTTCCTCTCCCTCAACCCCCACCTGCTCTGTAATGTTCCTACTGCACTCAAAGACCTCAGCTGCATATTTAATCATGTAAAGTACAGTCAAACGCCTCCGAAAACGCGTCTCCGAGTTTCCTAAAATTTCAATTCTTGATCAGGACACCATTGTTCGACTCCTATCCATTTCGTCACGGGCATCCATCACGCCACCGCCCCGTGCAACTGCCTCCTTGACAAGTGGCGTGGCCCCAGGACAAAAGTTGTGATGTCGCATCCCTGTTCGAAAACACACACTTGCGTATGGATTCCACCATACCTCCCAGGTCCTCCCTAAACACCGAACCATACCACGCACAAACCAAAGCCCCCCATACAATCAGATTCAAGTCGTTTCCTATCGCGAAAGGCAAACGAGAAGCAATCTGCAACAACTGGACAATAGGACAGCTGGACAAGCGATCAGCAACAACTGCACAACGCAATGGACACAGGCTGCACCGATCCATTCTCAGCTCATCAGTGCCCTTCCGCCGCGATGGCATGCATTGCGCGCTGTGCGGCCCTGCACCCCTGCTGAGCAGGGCCTGCTCTCCCCCACTTTGCAGCCACACACTGTCGGCCCCATAGGTTAAGCTAAAATATGCCGTACCATGGTGGTCGCTGCCAGTGGCGGGGGTGTGGCACCTGGGGCCCGTTTCCAACACCAGCCAGGCTCGATGGGCGATTGAGGGCATCGCCCATCTACTGCATGCCGAAAAATGCTCACTCGGAAAAATTACGCATATTTCGCGGAAGAAAAGTTCACCCAAGAGAAATTCGTGCACTAATCAGTGCGCGAAATTTTCTATGCCACAAACTTTATCGTTATACAGTACCCACACATGGGCTTGGCTTTTACATTTACGTTTATATTATTGTTCGGGGCACCAATAAATGGAGCCAATCTAGGCAAATGGATGGCTGCCATACCACATGAAATACTATGTATATATTACCAAGCTCGTGCCCCATGAGGCCCAGGATTCTAGGCCGGAATACCCTTGGTTAAAAGGTTGCAAACAGACCATAGGTATACCCCTCAAGCAATTCACCAAGTGTTGTGGAGTGGTTTCTGGCCGGGACGGACGCCCCTCATTGTCGCCCGATCGCCGCGTATCCCACGGCTTCACGCCAGAATCGGTGTGTCCGATTGGGGCGTTCACTCCTCCGGTCTCGCATGGTGGGCCCTGGTCGCTGAACCGATGGCCTGGGTGCTGCTAGGGACGGATGGGCCGGCGGCACGGTGTGCTCTCGCGCGCAGTGGTAAGACGCGCAAGGAAACATGTGCAGAACGGGTTACAGGGTCCCGCGGACTATGCAGGACTCAAAACACACTGTGCAGGCTGACTCACCCTACATTGGGTGAGCCAGGACACCATACAATAATGTATTGTCACCGTAACGTATGGACCGTCCACCAGTGTACCCAACAATCCAACAATCCTATTGTTTTTCCCCAACAGATGACAAGCCATGGCCAAAATTGTGACCTCAAGGCCCATGGCTTTAACTCCCCCATATACGCACACAACAGTACTCCCTCCTGGGGGAGTTTTCGCCCTCGAAAACACTAGTCCCCATAAAACAGTGTACCACTACCTCTACCCATTGTAGACCTATGTCTGATCTTCAATAGGCTTGTCACGGGCTATCATCTTTTTCAACTCTTCGGGATAGTCGAAGTTGTCCTTAGGCACCCAAGAAACGTCATCAATAGACCAGCCTGTCCAAAGTACCAGAAAGTCCTTGACCTTCTTGTGATTGGGTCCTCTCCAGCGCCACCTCAGAAGCTTCTCGACGTCATAGGGCTCATCGTCCTCAGGCTCAATCTCCTTTGTACCAGCAGCTGCACTCGACTGTGTCCATCCTGACATTCTGAATGGTCGTAGCAAGCTCGTATGAAAGACTCGATGAATCCTCCAAGCCTCTGGTAGGTCAAGTTCATAGGCCACCTTCTAGTCTAGCGCTTAAGGCGAAGAATGGAAACATGGATCTTTCCCGAGCTTCGCGACGGGGTCTTTTTGAAGCGAAAGATGTTTTTGTCTTGAGTAGCCGCGCGGTCCCACGATGGAAACAAGCAGGGTGGCCACCGGATCCGTTAATAGCGAGGGCCCGGAGGTTAATTTCCGTTAGTGCTTGGAAAATAACGAAAAAGGCGAAAATTAACTTGGTGTGGATTTTTTGGATTTTTGGGATTTTTGGGTTTTAGTCATACTTATAGTTTATGGAATTCGCTATTAGAGAGTATGTTTGTATTTTATTTCAACCTATGCATACTAGATTTTCAACTAGCCGCAGTTGTTGTGATTTTTTGGGGTTTTTCCGATTTTTTTGGATTTTTTTCGTTTTTTCTGAATTTTTCTCCCTTTTTCTTTAACGAAATTTAACGGACAGCTGATAAAAATTAACGAACCGGATTTAACGGACCGGATGGCACCTTTGAGTGGCCACCTCTAAAACAGCTGCTCTCTGCGCTGCTGGTCGGTCTGTATCTTCTGTCGCTGTTGAGCCCGCTGGACATACTGCATAGCCCTCTGAAAAGTCTTCTGCATCCGGGATACAAAAATGTTGACACCCTCTATCCTGGTAGTGCCACTATCCCGAATGAGGTCCAACAGTGTACACGGCTCATAACCATAGTTAAGGTAGAACGGCGTGTACCCTGTAGCCTATGACACACTGTGGTTTATGACGAATTCCACAGTAGAGAGAAACTTTTCCCAGTTGGCACCCTCTGACGACTCGTGGATGATGTATCTGAGTGTCATTTCTACCACCCTGTTCATAGCCTCTATGAGTCTATCTATCTGTGGGTGGTGTGATGTGGACATCCGCAGCTTGCTCCCCATAATCCTCCAGAACTCACACCAGAACCTCGAGACGAATCTGGGGTCTCTATCTGAAACGATGGATCGTGGTATCCCGTGCAGCTTCCCAACATGGTCCCAGTATAACCTCGCAGTGTCTGCTGCTGTAAGCATCTGCTTAACTGGGACTAGATGTACCATCTTTGTTGCATGGTCCACCACTGTCAGAATCCCATAGTTGCCCTGCTCACTGACCGGCAACCCCATGATGAAGTCCATACTGACATCAGCCCATTTCTCCTCTAGAAGCTCCAATAGCTGCAACAATCTTGTTGGCATTCGGTGGACACCCTTCTCCATCTGGCAGACCTGGCAACCCAAGACAAAATCTCGAATATCCACAATATGGTCTTAAGTGTCTTCTGATAACCCAGATGTCGAGAGTAAGGTACAATATGTAGCTCCTCCATGATCTTCCTCTTAATCTCTGGTACATCAGGTATCACCAATCGCCAACGTTGAATGTCCTTGTCTTGATCTCTTGTGTGCACCTCCAACAATCCATGTGTCATCCGGTATACACTGGTTCCCATCCGAATAGTCCGCTCCTGAGACGACTGCAACTGAGATAAAATGTTGTCCCATCTGGTGTCCGCCTGATAACGTTTCTGAATGTCTTCTCCCAGAGTAGTATCCAGAGTTACCCTTGTCTGGGTGATGAATAAAGAATGCGAAGAATGAGCAACTGAAGAATCATCCCCTGTAGTATTCCCCTCCAAGTTGGATTGTCTGAAAATATCATCCAACTTTCTCTGTATGGCATCATTTGATTGATCACCCTCACTTAGCCTCAGCCTCTAGACCAATGACTCCTCCTGTGCCTGCACATCCACCATGCTCCTGATGTCTGTAATACTCATGCGGGACAGAAAATCTGCAGGGTTCGTCTTGCCCGGTATGTGGACAATATCGCAATCATACCCTTGCAGAATCTGAACCCATTTCCAAACCCTTCTATTTACTGATGGCTGGTTTGGAAGGTTCTTCAAGGTGTCGTGGTCCGTCTGAATTGTAAAGTGGTTACAGGCCAGGTAGTGCCTCCATTTCCTGACTGCCCATACGATGCCCAATAGCTCCCGTTCATATGCACTGTACCGAGTCTCCGCAGGATTTAGTTTTCGGCTCTCATAGCAGATGGGCTGCAGTCCATTGCCAAAATCCTGCTATAGAATAGCTCCAACTGACACATCTGACACATCAGTTGTCACTGTAAACTCTCGGTCAAAGTCTGGTAATTGAAGAACACGTGTTGTGGCCATAGCAGTCTTCAACCTGTTAAAAGCCTGTTCCTCCTTGTCCGTCCACTCCCACTTCACATGTTTCTTTGT